CTAGCTTTCCTTCACTTTTAAATAGCTTGTAAAAGCGGCGTGCGCATTTTACTTTCACTTTGAAATAGCGGCAATTCGGCGTAAAGCAATTGCAAATGTTTTCAAAAATTAATTTCGATTAATTGCACAGCCCTAGTGTGCAGCGCATTTTATGGAGGACTGTTTCCTGATCCTGGGAGAGTAGACTACAATGCCGGCTGTTCTGACTCAAACGCGAGTTTTGAGCAGTGTAGAGTAGCGCTTGTTGTTTGACATTTCTCAGATCACAAATGCAGACATGTTTTTTTTTTTGTTTACGCGGCGCGATGCAACGCAACGTGTAAAAAGACAGTACAAGTCATTATAATCAGTAATTATGTCCCCACTGGATGCAACAAATGCCTCGTTTATAAGGGGTTTTAATGTTTTTGTCTCGTCGCTCCGGGACATGGCATCACAGTATGGTAAGGGGGTAACATTTACGTCACACGCTTGAGGTATTCGGCCAATCACAACGCACTGGATAGCTGGCCAATCAGAGCACACCTCGCTTTTCAGACCAATGAGCTTTGTAAAAATTGACGTGTTTCAGAAAGGCGAGGCATAGAGGAGCAACAATAATGTACATTATGTGGAAAATAATGTGTTTTATGAACCTTAAACTGCATAAACACATTTCATTACACCAAATACACAAAATAATGTTATTTTTAGCAACATCATATGACCCCTTTAAGAAACCACCCAATACACCCTAGCAACCACATTGCTACTCATTGTAGCAACAAGTTTAGCCCACCGTCTCAAACAGTTTTGCAGCTTCAGTTTGAAAGGTTTCATCTCAATAAAATCTATCAAATGTGCAGTAACATTTGCCATTACTCTGCAAAATTGTGTCCATTATTTTGAAAAATAATCAGTATGATTTGGAATTTTGCGTAAAGCTGAAATGTTTCACAATGCACAAGTTTTTCATGCAAATTCATCGCCACACTTTTGACAGTGAATAATTAATTTTTTGGCTGCAAAATTTTGCTGAATTTTCGCAAAAGTGACCGCAGCCTTGATGGTCATGTGGTCACATTTGTGAAATTTAGTCAGCAAAAAGTCCATTCTCAACTGTCAAAAATGTAGCGATTTGTGAAATACAATGCACACAGCTGTTGATCAGTGTCACAAATTAGCATAGAAAAACTTGAACCCGATGTGAAATCTGTGTGGAAATGTTTTGTCCTTGCGCAAAAATCACAATTTTCAAATTGAGGTTTTAAAATGACTGGATTTCGCCTGCAAAGTTCTTTTGAAATTTTTTTGGCAACTGGAACTGTTGATTATCTGTTATGAACGCTTTGATGTTTGCTTCCCAGGAAACATTATGGTTGGAGGATGATTAATAGTGTGGATGAACATTAAGTGCCACAAGCCTCTCATCAACTCATGTGGGGGTTTTGTGGGGGTCTCTGGGGTAAATGCAGCACTCTTGTGTTCAGTCTCCTAGCAGTAAGGATTAAATCTGTGTGAGAGATGCTGATGTGGCCTAATTGCTGTGTTTGTTCTTTGGGACTGAAGAAACGTCCTCCCTCAGGGAAGTCCTCAACCACAACTGAGATGGTTAATTGAAACGTTTGCTTGGTGAGACTCAATGAGTCTCATGGAAGGTGGCGAGCTGTATGGGAATATTGAGATTTTCCTGACTGTAGGTAAATTAAAGCCCGGCTAGCCTTTTTATGAAATGGCAAAATTTGAATTGAGAACACCAGGTCAGGGATTTTTTTTACTTTTTTGATGCCAAGGACCCCCAAATAAAAAGACTGCTATGTGTTTACATGTATAGAAATCTCAATTTATACTATATAAGAGATGAACTGAGTTTTTGTTTTTAATACCCCCCCCCCCCCCCACAAAACCATACTGTAAACTCCTAAAGTATTATAAATTAATAATTTTATTCAGCAAGGATGTTATAAATGTTACAAAAGATCTAAAAGAAGTATTAAGCAGCACAATGGTTTTAAACTGAGTATCAAATCAGCATATTTGAATGATTTCTGAAGGATCATGTGACACTGAAGACTGGAATAATGATGCTGAATATTCAGCTTTGCATCACATGAATAAATTACATTTTTAAATGTCTTGGAATTTTTCTTTTTTAAATTTTAATAATAGTTACATGCACATTATTCGCAATATTACTGTTTTTACTTTGATCAAGTGAGTGTAGCCTTGGTGAGCATAACATTTCTAAAGAACATAAAAATTTACCGATCCCAAACTTTTGAACTAGTGTATTATTTTATTTTTTTAAATGTATGAATAATGTCTTAAATATATGATATGGGATTGAATTGCTTTACACACTGAGGAAGACTTTGAGCCGAAACATTTGTCTTTTGCCATCAGTAATGAATGTAAAATAAAAGAAAAAAAGAAGATTATTCTCGTGAGTGCGGATCATAATTTCTTATACTAAGTAACTCAACAGATTGACGCACCAAAATAAAAAGATCAAGTAACGCAAGAGCGCAGTGCAAACGATGTTAAATATATGACCCCAATTTATTAACACATTTGACAGCCCCAAATAATCCTCCCCCCCCCTTCTTTGTTCCCCCTTTGTGGCCCTCTGGGGGTCACTGGACCTCAGTTTGAAATCCCCTGCTTCAAGTAACTTTTTCTAGAGATTTCGATGCTTATGTTTGCTGTGTCACCTGCAATCAAACCAGCACTTATGTTCTTATCTAGAGACATTTGGCTAATTTGTTTACCAAAGCCTGTCTGTAATCCCATTACAGTGAGGTGATGTTTAATTAATCCATTAAGATTAACACCTACACACTTCCTCACATCACTGCTGATTGTTAAAGGCTGTTGCTTTTATTCCTATTGTTAACATACAGGGGAGAGAAATATCCACTTAATGAGTCTAAATAGTCTCAGTTTTGTAGATTGTTGGTTCGGGCCATCTTCCATGACATCAGTTTCCCCCCGCTTTCCTTTATTTCTATATCACTTGTTTGTCATCATATGAGTGGCAAGGATGCAACGTGACAGTATAATTTCAAGTTTTAAGTTGATAAGGTCTTCTCCCCACCCAGTTATTACTTGTGGTGAAATCAAAGGAAGGGAAATAAAATGAACCTAATCTGATACTAACAAGTACTTTTGCTGAGCTGGCAGAAGCCACAAATGCTTGATCGTTCAGAGTCAAGTCCTCATACTCTTTTATGGAGCAGGGAAGGATCTGGAATGTTCGGGTGTGTGTCCATCTGGCTAACACATTCTTTCTTTCTATTTCTCTTGCAGGGGCTGGTGAATCTGGAAAGAGTACAATTGTCAAACAGATGAAGTAAGTTTCAACCCCTATTATGTCATCCTAATGTGTCATACTAGTTTCATAATATTTAGAAATCACGCAGGATGTAAGCGATAGCGGTGTTTATTTAAATTAAATGTGAATTGCATAATCATTTGATTATGGACATGACTTATTAAGGGCCTTCCCTGCATTTGTTAGGCTTTTATAACTTTTGAATGTTTTAAACATCCTCAAAGGCATTAAGATTAAGAAACTGGGCAAATCTAGTGATATACCTTCACATTTAACATTTTTTGGCACAGCATGCAGCAGAATGTTCAGGATCGTCAGCAAGGCCTATATTCACAATATAAACTTGCCAGGAGCTATTAGTTGTATTACTTAAATTAATGCCATTGTCTTTTCTCCCACAGAATCATCCATGAAGCGGGCTACTCAGAGGAAGAGTGCAAACAGTACAGAGCCGTCGTCTACAGCAACACTATCCAGTCCATCATCGCCATCATAAGGGCCATGGGCCGCCTGAAGATTGACTTTGCGGATCCTGGGCGGGCTGTAAGTGCTGCTGTTATAATGTAAAGTGGGGTTAAATGCAGGCCACTTATTTATGTAATGCTAAAGTATCAAAAGGAAACCATGATGCATTGGATTGACTGTTTGGCAGGATGATGCAAGGCAGCTGTTTGTGCTGGCCGGCTCTGCAGATGAGGGATATATGACGAGCGAGCTGTCAGGAATCATCCAGCGGCTGTGGAAGGATGGTGGTGTTCAGGCTTGTTTCATTCGCTCCAGAGAGTACCAGCTCAATGACTCTGCCTCATAGTGAGTGTCTTTTAGATTTTTTGCCATTTTTTCCCCTTCCCTACACATCCCATTTCCCACATAATGACTTTTATGCTCCCCACATAATCCAGCTCCATTTCCATTGTGGCTGCTGAACACGTCAATGGTTTGTGTGCTGCGTGTGGACATTTAGTTTACATTGAGTTGTTATTGACGTTATTCCATCTATTATGGTCCATGATTCAAATATACTTTATGCAAACTTTAAAAAAAAATGCAAATTTGTCCTGTGTTCTCCAAGCATGCTGTGAACCCTTACTTTTTGCATACAACCCAGATGAATAAGATGTATTCACAATAGACAATTATGACATAATAAAAATTTGATCTGTCTAGGAAATCTAATTTAGAATTAATATATGCTGCTGTTCAAAAGTTTGGGTTCAGTAATATTATTTTAATGTTTTTGAAAGAAGTCTACATTTATTTGATTATAAATTCATTTGTTAGCATGATTAGCAAGTTACTAGCACATTTCTAGAATGATTAGCATGTCACTAGCATGATTCTAGCACATTTCCAGCATGATTAGCATGTTTCTAGCATGTTTAACAAGTTGCTATCATGTTTCTAGCATGATTAGCATAGTGTTAGCGTAATTAGCAAGTTACTAGCATTTTGCTAGCATGTTTCTAGCATGATTAGCAAGTTAATAGCATGTTGTTAACATGATTAGCAAGTTACTAACATGTTGTTAGCATGTTTCTATGTTAATCCAGCTAAAACCAGTTGATTCAGTAAAAAAACCCAGCTAAGACCACCCTGACCTGCTAAAAAAGTGGCCAAAACCACTTTAAAACCAGCTTGGGAGACCAGCCAAAGCAGTCAGTCAGCTTAGGCTGGTTTTAGCTGTTTTTTCAGTAGGGAGTTGTTAAGCTTTGTGATAGCAATAGACAGCTTAAATACACCATACGTCTTATTGTATAAAAGTTTTCACCCCCTCAATGAAAGTCTGGGATTTTAGGTGGTTTTGATAGTCTGGTTTATGAAAACTGTAAACCGTATCAGTTCGAAAAGATATAGCACACCGAATCAGACCAGTCTGAAGGACTGACCTGAGTTTGGTGGTTTTAGCTTTAAAGCTCTAGGAGGAGATAGTGTTTAAATTTTGGCTCAGAAGAATAATAAGTTTAAAGGGGTCATATGATGCTTTTTTTTAAAAGATCATTATTTTGTGTATTTGGTGTAACAGGATATGTTGACATGCTTTAATGTTCAAAAAACACATTATTTTTCAAATACTGTACATTATTGTAGGTCCTCTATGGTAGATCAAAATGTACCGTAACATTTTCATTTTTTTAGTACCAACTTGGTACCGAAGTACCGAGTCTTTTAACAACACTAGCTGCAACAGTAGCCTAGTGCTATATGCTGCAGAAATGTCGAGAGAGTAAAAAGTTGGCTCTTGCGTTACCCTTTGAAGCCTTTTGAGAATGTTGGTTCACAACGATGTTTGTAGGTGCGCAACATTATACGGGGAAGGAAACAGTATGGTGCTTACAACAATTTAGTCCAGGAGCTCCGGTTGAATGATGCACGGTTTTTGGTGTATTTTAGACTAAGTTAGAGACAGTTTTGTGCTCATATCATACAACTCCTTGTGCTCCGAAACTAGTACGAACTAATCTACCGGCTATCTTTTCCATTTTTCTTGTTGTTTTTGTTATGGAAACAACTCCCCACTCGCTTGTCATTGGTCAGCTGTCAAAAATGCGCTTGACGTAGGGTGTTTTTTTTTTCAGAAAAGTTGAACTTTTTTCAACTTGAAAAGACACTGAGCTGCAGAAAAAGACGCCGGCGGTGGCGTTTTAAAAAGCGCTCAGGACTTTTTTGAAAACACGGTTTACTCCATAGGATTATAATGTAAAACAGATGCTGGCAGCTTAAAAAAAGACGCCAAGTGTGAACATGGCCTAAGTTGGCTTTCTCAAGCCAACTTTAAATGTGTTTTGTTTTTTAATATTTTAAAATGTAATTTGTTGCTGTGATGGTAAAACTGAATTTTCGGCATCATTAGTCCAGTTTTCGGTCTCGCATGAGAATTCAGAAATAATTATAATATGATGAAGTAGAAACATTTCTACTTATTATCAGTTTTGAACAGTTTTGCTGCTTGATTTTTTTAAATCCTGTTTTTTTTCAGGATTCTTTGGAGATTAGAAAGTTCAAAGGAGCAGCATTTAATTGAATTAGAAATCTAATCAATTTAATACATCCTTGGTAAAATGTTTTTTTAACCAAAAAAAAAGCTATATATATA